AGAGCAGAAGGTTAGTCTTCCCAGTTTAACTCGTGTTTTAACTTTCCCAGTTTAACCTGTAAGTTAAAAAGTGTAACGCTAACATTTCCAAGCTTTGATGCAACTGAGTATTTTTATCTCCTTAGATTTTAATACAATAGAAAGTAAATATCTCAAGATAAACAGTAACTTTAAATAAGACTAATCAAGTGTACTGTACGGTTAACCCAACTATATGGAGCTGTCAGAGACATTAGGTATATCATTTTAAAATCTAGTAAGTTAGATTCACATCCTCTCTCTATGGGTTCTATAGCTTATTTTTAAAAGGGGGTGGGAGCTCTAACAAGGTTGTCGCACATCAAAAATAACTGGGATTTTGCTTTGAAGTCGGAGTGCCTTTTCTTTTTTCTACTCCTGGAATGTCTCACAGCATCAGGGGAGGAAGAGATCTCTGAAACAGGCCCTTCTATTTGCTTTGTATATGGTACTTTTTCAGTGTCTCTGCTATTTCCACAGTCCATCTTCTGTGTGGTTGACCTCTGGCTCTGTTATCACTGTATCTGTATAACACTGCTCTCTGTGGTGAACTGTCGGATTGAAGCTGCCTTAAAAGTGAGGAACCAAAAGTTTGCATACAAGTTAAGCAAGATCTGTACATGTGATGTGTATGGAAAATTCACATTCTGGAACAAGACTTAAGCCCAGATCTGGACAAAAAACCACAACTTTCTGCCAAAGTTTACAGTCAGCGAATGCAAAGAAGAAGAAAAAAAGATAACATTCCTTTGCAGTTCACTGGAAAAAAAAAACAGCCAGCATTTTTTTGGGCTGTCTCTGGTTTTACTAGACTATTTTAAGTTCAGCAGTTTGCAGCTACTGCAAGAATCAACATGAAATGGTCAGCTGTCAAACCGCCTGCAGCTGAATCGAACCGGTTATTTCAGAACTGCAAACTGCATTTGCCTGCCTTAACTTTCTCAGTCCTACGCGGTGTTGCTTCAACCTCCTATATTCAAAGAAGTTGAGCTTTCAATAATAAATACCTAGGTCTAAGAAACTTCACAGAAGAGACTGTAAAACATGAGTAGTTAAAAAAATAATTCAGATATAAAATTTTTTTTTTTTTTTTTTTTTTTTTTTTTTTTTTTTTTTTTTTTTTTTTTTTTTTTTTTTTTTTTTTTTTTTTTTTTTTTTTTTTTTTCTTTTTTTTTTTTTTTTTTTTTTTTGTTTTTTTTTTTTTTTTTTTTTTTTTTTTTTTTTTTTTTTTTTTTTTTTTTTTTTTTTTTTTTTTTTTTTTTCTTTTTTTTTTTTTTTTTTTTTTTTTTTTTTCTTTGTTTTGTTTTTTTTTTTTTTTTTTTTTTTTTTTTTTTTTTTTTTTTTTTTTTTTTTTTTTTTTTTTTTTTTTTTTTTTTTTTTTTTTTTTTTTTTTTTTTTCTTTTTTTTTTTTTTTTTTTTTTTTTTTTTTTTTTTTTTTTTTTTTTCTTTTTTTTTTTTTTTTTTTTTTTTTTTTTTTCTTTTTTTGTTTTTTTTTTTTTTTTTTTTTTTTTTTTTTTTTTTTTTTTTTTTTTTTTTTTTTTTTTTGTTTTTTTTTTTTTTTTTTTTTTTTTTTTTTTTTTTTTTTTTTTTTTTTTTTTTTTTTTTTTTGTTTTTTTTTTTTTTTTTTTGTTTTTTTTTTTTTTTTTTTTTTTTTTTTTTTTGTTTTTTTTTTTTTCTTTTTTTTTTGTTCATTACAGCAGATTATGTTTGGGATAGAAGAGATTCAAGACAGCTTATTTTCAGCGGAAAGACCAATGAATGGAATGGTGAGCTGTTTTGTACTTAACAAATTCAGCTACAGATCCTAGATTTAATAGCTTTGGAAAAGGGGAGCAGACAGTTGGAAAAAGTAGATCTCCAGAACATACATCTGGAAAAAGTAGATCTCCAGAATAGATAGCTGGAAAAAGTAGATATACAGAACAGACAGCTAGGAAAAGTAGATATACAGAACAGACAGCTGGGAAAAGTAGATATACAGAACAGACAGATGAAAATGTAGATATACAGAATAGACAGCAGAAAAAGTAGATTTACAGAATAGATCGCTAGAAAAGTAGATATACAGAATACACAGCTGGAAAAGTAGAATACAGAATACACGGCTGGAAAAGTAGAACACAGAATACACAGCTGGAAAAGTAGATATACAGAATACACAGCTGGAAAAGTAGAATACAGAATACACAGCTGGAAAAGTACATATACAGAACAGACGGCCAGAAAAGTCAGCAGAACAGACAGCTGTAAATGTAGATATGTAGAGCAGACAGCTGGAAATGTAGGTATGTAGAAGAGACAGTTGGAAAAATAGAGCAGAACAGATAGCTGGAAAAGCAGATAGGTAGAATAGACAGCTGGAAAAGTACATATGTAGAAAAGACAGGTGGAATAGCAGATATGCAAAATAGACAGTTGGAACATTAGATATGCAAACAGACAGCTGAAAAGTATATCTGCATAACAGACAGCTGGAAAAGTGGATAATGTAGAACAGACAGTTTTTTTAAGCAAAAAAAGCAGCGAATTAATGTATGGGTCGGTCCTCAAGAGTAAGGAAGGAAAATAAGAGTTTATGGAAGCAATGATAAAAAGACATATCACATATTTTTGGACCTATTAAAAGACATGATTTATTTGTTAAAAAAAAAAAAAAAAAAACCATACTGGAATTAAAAGGTTCAAAGCCAGCAGGAAAGAGCCACACAGTGACACAAGTGAACAGATAACAACCAAACAGCAGAGTAAACCACAGCATGAGAGGCAGAAAGTGTTGGGATTCCTTGCAGCCAGGCTTCATTGTGAAGGTGATACTTGAATCATTAGCTGTTGAGGTGAACTGAGATTTGTACAACTAACTCAATAAAATTCTGAAACTCTCAATTTACTCTGACTTAATGAAATTCTGAAACTATCATTTCACCCTTCTCAATGAAATTCTGAAACTCTCAGTTCATTCTCTTAATGAAATTCTGAAACTCTCAGTTCACCGTAACTCAGTGAAATTCTGAAATTCTCAATTCACCCTAACTCAATGAAATTCTGAAACTCTCAGTTCACCGTAACTCAGTGAAATTCTGAAATTCTCAATTCACCCTAACTCAATGAAATTCTGAAACTCTCAGTTCACCCTGACTCAATGAAATTCTGAAACTCTCAGTTCACCCTAACTCAATGAAATTCTGAAACTCTCAGTTTACCCTAACTCAATGAAATTCTGAAACTCTCAGTTCACCCTAACTCAATGAAATTCTGAAACTCTCAGTTCACCCTGACTCAATGAAATTCTGAAACTCTCAGTTCACCCTAACTCAATGAAATTCTGAAACTCTCAGTTCACCCTAACTCAATGAAATTCTGAAACTCTCAGTTCACCCTGACTCAATGAAATTCTGAAACTCTCAGTTCACCCTGACTCAATGAAATTCTGAAACTCTCAGTTTACCCTAACTCAATGAAATTCTGAAACTCTCAGTTCACCCTAACTCAATGAAATTCTGAAACTCTCAGTTCACCCTAACTAAATGAAATTCTGAAACTCTCAGTTTACCCTAACTCAATGAAATTCTGAAACTCTCAGTTTACCCTAACTCAATGAAATTCTGAAACTCTCAGTTCACCCTAACTCAATGAAATTCTGAAACTCTCAGTTCATCCTAACTCAATGAAATTCTGAAACTCTCAGTTCACCCTAACTCAATGAAATTCTGAAACTCTCAGTTCATCCTAACTCAATGAAATTCTGAAACTCTCAGTTCATTGAAATTCTGAAACTCTCAGTTCATCCTAACTCAATGAAATTCTGAAACTCTCAGTTCACCCTAACTCAATGAAATTCTGAAACTCTCAGTTCACCCTAACTCAATGAAATTCTGAAACTCTCAGTTCATCCTAACTCAATGAAATTCTGAAACTCTCAGTTCATCCTAACTACCACCGCAACATTACAGGGAATAAAGTAGCAGAAAACTTAGCGAAAACTCCAAATGGAGCCCAGAAGGCAAATGGAATATACAGATGGGAGAACCTAATTCACCGACCAAGGGATCATAATTCACAGACAGACCACATAGAAACTTAATGACTGTGGGAGATGACACACAAATTGTGGGACATAACTTATGAGGTGAGATTTACACTCCGCAGAGACAAACTCGCAGATTTTGGAGGAGAGATATCTTATGTTGGAGTAACTAAAGAGCTCTGGAAGGGGATAAATTATGCATCTTAGTAATACAAAAATGAGGCATAAATATTTCAAGTATACAGCGCATGGCGGTGGGAAACGGAACATCCCCTTCTTTCGCTTCACCATCTATAAACTCCGGTGGCAAGTTCAAGCTGTTCGCCAACTCCTTGACTTTGATCTTCTTCCAGAATGTGAAAAGATATATAAGCAAACGGAAAGCAGAACTAGCAAGTTTCACATTATCACAATGGCAAACAAGTGAACCTTGTGGTTAGAGAAACTGAAGTTCGACTTCCAATGCATTTTATTTGTATGCAGACTGTTAATTTCTCATCTCTCAGACAAATGCACCCTGAATTTGAAGTTAACACACCTTATTAGTGGCCTTTTACAAGACAACTGTTGGAGGGGGGGGGGGGGGGGGGGGGCAATGGGCCAATCCTTTTCCTGCATAAAATGGGGCCCGAACAACACAAGGGTAAAGAAATAGAATTTGAACTTTCTGCACTTTACCAATACAGTGCAGACCTGACAAGGAGAACTCCCAGAGCATCCAAGACATAGTTCTTCTTTTCAGAAATTCCCCATATCCAGATATAATTTCAAGCAAGAAACATTTTAGGGCATAAACAAATTGTTCTTCACAACAGAAATTCACCACATCTGAGATCGTATTAAGTGGTCTGTCCTGCGTACTGGCATTATTAAACACAGCTGCACAATATCATAACACAGACATCTTGAAGTAAAACAGCCACATAATATAACAATGGTATACTAGCATCAATAAATTCTAAACATTCTCTGTGGAAGTTGTATCTGTGACATTAGAAGCCAGTGGTGTTGCAGCAGATGATCCCACAGCTGCTGTTGATTGTTGACTGGTGAAACTTGATGAGGCTGAAACAGAGCTGGCGGGTTTTTCATTATCCTCATCATCGTCATCAAGTGTTGGCCAGTTTGGAGCGCTGTCGACTTTACTTAGCCTCTCATTCAGGGCCTTTATTGCCAGTTGTCTGTTCAGGAGGAAAATTACAGAAATTCAATTAGAAAGATGCTCAAAAGATGTCTACTACATGTAATTCTGAGTTGTCCAGATAAGTACTACATATTTTTAAAATTACTGTTCTCTTTTATTATTATTTTAGGAGCCGCTGTTGTCTAACAGCTAGATGCTTGCCTGTGGATCGGAAGGTAGTGGGTTCGGGTCCTGACAGAGGCCAGAAGACTTTTTACTTAAAAAAAATTGCCTTGGCTCCCAGGTAAGGAAGTAAAGGCGGCCAGCATGATGCTGACCACATCACCCACCAAGTGTCATTTGGTATATAAAATATAGGTCTAGCCCTATATACCCAATACGCCTAAAGGCATGGAAAAAAGTCCTTTACTTTACTATCACTTTTTAAATTATTATTTTAAACAAAGAAAATCACAAACAATAGATTGCATAATTTATTACCTGGCATACTCCGCTAAATTGTATCAGGTGCATAGTACAGTAACAATTGAATAAGTGAAGCAAATAAGTGAATCCTTTATAACTCTTCTTCGCATTCACCAGCTGTAAACTCTGGTGGAAAATTCTGGTTGTTCACCCACTTCTGGACTGCAGTCCTGTCCCAGAACTTGAGTGTTGCGTGTGCATCCGTTTGACAGATCTGACTAATTTGTATGCAGATTGATGGTTTTTTGCCTCTCAGGTTGATGCACTTTGACTTTGAAGGAAGCTCCAAATTAGCTGACTTTTACGACATGCTTTTGGGTAGGCAGTGAGTCTATTCTTGTTTTTCCCAACAGTGGGGCCCTGGAACCCACACAGGGGACCCTTTATAACTGAAATACATGATTAATTTAACTGCTTCTCTTTATTCAACAGGGCCACATATGTGTGTGAGTGTGGGGAAGGGGATGGGGGGGGGGAACAGGGGATAGATCCACTGCCCTCTTTCAAGCATATCATGAAAGGAGGCAACTAACTAGGAGTCTGCTGAAATCAAATGTGCTGGGCCAAAGGCCGCAGATTATGATGGCTTAGTTGTAAACCCCCAACTCACTGCTCAAAAAACCTTTACAAGGGTGATTGCAGGAGAAGAAGAAGAAGAACAAGAAAAAAATAATAACAAGAGAAAGAATGAATGAACAAACATTATTTTTTAAAGAGTTAATACCTGGGCATGCAGGAATGTCTAACGATCTCCCTTCTTTCATATATAATTTCATTTATACATCCTTTAACAGGTAATACATATTATCAGCAATTAAATATTAAATACAAGAAGAAGAAGCAGAAGCAGAAGGATAAGAAAAAAAAAAGAAGAAGAAGAGGAAGAGGAAGAAGAAGAAGAAGAGGAAGAAGAAGAAGAAGAAACAGATAATGAAGAAGAAGAAGAAACATTTACTTTCGTCTTTCTGCATCCCGAGGTTCTGTCCCTGGCAGAGTGACAGTAATGGTTGTAGAAGAGCTGACATCGTATCTCCGCTGTGGCTTCTTGCAAAGTTTCAGTTTGACAAGTCCGCTAAAAATTGTGTTTGCAAAGACAGCAATCAGTGGCTGCAGCTGACTTGGAAAGAAGCTAAGAGAAATGTAAACAAATTCAAGAATATGAGCTTCCTTTGGTTATAATAATGGTGATATAAATAGAGTAAAGGACAATTTTCCACATGTACTGGGCATATGGTTCTAGAAGCCAGAGTACTGGAAGTAGTAGAGTACTGGTGGCAGCAATAGTAGTAGCAGTAGTACTGGCTGTGGTGGTAGTAGCAGAATTAGCAGCAGTAGTAGTAATCATAACAACAGCATCAGTATTTCTGGCAGCCATAATAGTAGCAGCAGTAATAGTAGTAGTAGCAGCAGTAAAAGTAGCTATAATAACAGCACCAGTATAGTAGTATTGGTAGTAGCAGCAGCAGTAATAGTGGTGATAACAACATCATCAGTATTACTGGCATGCCATAGCAGCAGTAGTAATAGTAGCAGCAGTAATAGTAGTAGTAGCAGCAGTAAAAGTAGCTATAACAGCACCAGTATAGTAGTATTGGTAGTAGCAGCAGCAGTAGTAGTTAGTGGTCATAACAACAGCATCAGTATTACTGGTACGCCATAGCAGCAGCAGTAGTAATAGTAGCATGCAGTAATAGTAGTAGTAGCAGCAGTAAAAGTAGCTATAATAACAGCACCAGTAGTACTAGTAGTATTGGTAGTAGCTTCAGCAGTAGTAGTGGTCATAACAACAGCATCAGTAGTACTAGCAGCTGTAGTAGCAGCAAAAGTAATAACAACATTAGTAATAACAGCAGTAACAGTAGTCATAACAGCAGCATAAGTAGTACTGATTGCAGTTAGCAGCAGTAGTCATAAGAATATCATCTGTAGTGGTGGCAGCAGCAGTAGCAGAAACAGTTAAAAAAACAGCAGCAGGGTTTTCTTATGCATCATTTTTTTGGGCGCTGTAATAAATAAATACCTTGCAGTGAGCGTGGCACCCTATTTAGGCATTGCGTGATGAGTACCAGCACCTTTTGCCTTGGGGGAAACGGCCTCAGCAGCTGTATTCATATAAGCATCATCAACAGTAGGCTAGTACTAACACAGGTAGCAGCAGTGAGGGTAGTATAAGTCAAGTACAGGATCATTTTCCACACCTTCAGATGTAATGGGCATATAGGGCTAGGCCTATATTTTATAGACCAATCAACACTCAGTGGGTGATGCAGTCAACATCAAACCGGCCACCTTTACTTCTCAGGAATTTTCCAAATGCTACCCCACAGCAGCTCCCAGGGGTAGTACCTTCTTCTCAAAGTCCATCCCACGTGGTGTTGGTAGTCACGCCTATCTACAACCTTCTGTCTTGTGTACTTGCAATCAACTCTGACAGAGATGATCCTCCATGCCATGATGGCAAACTGTCCAGCGTCTCTTTTGGTCTCCCTCTGCGTTCCTCCAAATTTCGTCACAATGTACTCCAGTTTTTTCCTTCTCATCACATGACAATAGAATACAGTCTGTCTTTTTATGATGTGGGCAATCAGTTCTCTTCAGGAGTCAGTTTCTTTCAAGACATCCTCATTTCTCTTGTTGATATTTCCAGGGTATTTTGATTATTCATCTACAAAACCCCATCTCCACATAAGTTTTCACTAATCTACCAACTGTCCATGATTCACGTCTGTTTATCAAGATAGGATTTACACAGCTTTCAAGAATTCTCTTTCTTGTCTTAACTTACAAAGATTGTGCAAATATTCTTCATTTTGTAAAATGCTGCCTTTGCCTGGGCAATTCTACTCTACATTTAACTTCTTTAACTCTTTGAGTCTCAGGGGGTTTAGTATCACAGGCCCAATGGGTAGTAAAGAGAGAGTAAAATCGACATATCATGCGTTCATTGGGCTTCTATGTAGGAACATATGATGTGTTCCTTGGGACTCAATGAGTTAATACATCTTCTATCTGATGTTATCAGAGTACCAAAGTACTGAAACATATTAACTTGCTTGAGGTTTGTCATATTTACTTTGATGTTGCATTTTAGAAGGTCAGTTTTCTTTGTAATTAATTAAAGCAGTGGTATACTTAATACTAGAAATAGTAGAGATGGTGGAGATAGTAATAAAGAAAAATATTACCTTGCAAAACTAAAGTTATCAGCCAAATCGCCACGATTTCCATCACTATGCTTCTGATAAAACCTTAGATACACCCAGCTGACCAATAGTCCGTTAGCAAACATGTACGGGTAGGCCCCTGGCAGGAGACCCGCAACACGCAGTCCAATGGTCAACGCCAGAAGTGCCAAGGGTACGTGCGTGTTCTTCAACTTCCCAAACGGTAGGACCGCCAGACAGTGGTCAGGCATCACTTGTTTCAAGGCCACACAAAACCCAGCGATGTACCCTGACAGTCCGTGAATATGAACATCAAACAAATACTCCTCTTTCAGTGTCACCAAATAAATAAACAAATACACAAACGCAGTCAGGATCCCCACGCCCATATTGACGACAATGAAAAAGAGAAGCATCTCACGGGCACCCCAGAGAGGTTCTAGTAATTTCCCAAACAGAATAATGATTACGGCGTCAACAACAACATGCCAAATATGCAGCTCCACGAAACAAAAAGGAATCAAACTGTACACATGAAAGTTGGGAGGAAGGACATAGCCTGGGGTTATTGTTATAAACGGGACAGCTGAAGAAATAAATGAACATAAATATCCTAATATTACTGCGATAGTTATAGTCTTCACAACAATGCTGCTTTTCCCGAATGCAGCTGATAAATTCTCCTTAAAAGTGGGGAATCTTGAATGCGCAATGGAGGCCGCCATTTTCTTCGACATGTCACGACATCAGTTTCCTGTTTGCATCGACATATTGCTATCATCATCATCCACTGGCTAAGTTAGGCCTAGGAAGTATTGGCGGTCGCCCTGATACTGACCACATCACCTACCAAGTACCGATCTGGGTTCTTTATTAATATTCTACCCCAAGCATGGGAAATCCACAGGTCACGGAACAGTCTAATATTTCAGGGGGTGGTAGATAAGCTGCACTCTCTCGTGGGACCTAGGCTGCACTCTCTCGTGGGACGTAGGTAGGTTAGGGTTAGAGCCAGTTCTAGATGTTTTGACGTTGTTAAAAGCATCAGAAAGCCGGGAGACCCAGTCTTACCACCTTCTAAAGTGTTGGACTGTCCTGTGACGTAATCTTGGGTAGGATATTAACAAAGAACCCAAATTTGTCTAAAAAATATAGGTCTAGCCCTATATGCCTATACACATGAAGGCGTGGAAAAGGATCCTTCACTTTTTTCGACTTCACCAGTTTCTCTCATATATTTACTCATATTTTACTCATGCTATTTCACTAATTTGTCTCACATATTTACTCATATTCTTCTCATGTTTTTTCAATGACCATATAAATTCCAAACAATTACAAACAAAAAGAATCGAACTTCTAGTGATCATAGCAACCAAAAAGCCAGCATTTTGTGGCTAAAAATGAACGGTATCCACTAAAAGACCCCGAGCTTAGTTTTTTTTTTTCTCTTCAGTTTCCAGTTTTCAGTACTCCAGTCTGAAAGATTGACACGTAGTGACTTGTAGAGCGATCTATTCAGATTCTAATCCAACAGGAACAGATATAAGAAAATCCAGTTCAGCCGTGTAAAAACTTGGGCTGTACCGAATATTCGCTTCGTATTCGCTTCGGGGCCGAATAGTGAACCTAATAGCTATTCGGTATTCGGCCGAATAGTGGCGGTCGGGCCGAATACGAATAGTGATTCCTGCATGCACTGCGATGGACTGAAATAACTCTCTCTCATTAATAATGTCACAATTTGTAGCCGACTTTTAATGGCAAACGCACCCAGTTTTAGAACCTCTGCTGTAATGCCAAGGAGTCAGCAGGCGCTGTTACCACGCAACCGGGTCGCAGTTTTTCCTGCTACGAAAGATTTAGGCAACGCTACTGTTGTGTCAAATAAGGCATGAAGAAACTTGAAAGTGTATCTGTGTGTGTGTGTGTGTGTGTGTGTGTGAGAGAGAGAGAGAGAGAGCATGCCTTTTTTCGTTCTTTCGGGGTGTCTTTTCCAAAATCAAATTGAAGATATTGCGAACGAGAATATGGAGGTGCATTTAAATTATATCGAACAAACGCCTGAACTAACGATGATTTAAATGCGAATTTGGCACATGTATAAAATCAGATGAAAGATGCATTACTAAAATAAAAAACAAAAATTGCATTTTATTTTTAAAAAAAAAGACATTTTATGCAATATATCTTTGTCTTGCTTGCTACATACATCCAGTTTTAACATATAGCTATGAGTCCTGGACAATCGGTAGCCACGCCAAACAATTTTTTGAGGCCTCAGAGATGTGGTTTTACAGAACAATGCTTAAAATACCTTGGACAGCTTAAAAAAAGCAACCACTAGGTTTTGAAAGAGGCGAGAGCCCGAAGACAACTAATCACAGACATCAGAAGGAGAAGGTCATCATTTTTTAGCCATCTTATAAGAAGAGTGAAAAACGGAACATGTGATGACCACTGGAAAGATTTGTGGAAGGAGAGATAGAAAAAGACAACGAGAGAAGATTCTTGTTGCATGTCATGGAGGTATGTCAGCACACGAACTGATACATGCTGCAGGAGATCGCAGATTGTGGCGAGGCAAAATCGCCAACACCAGTCGGCAAAGCACCTGATGATGATGATACACTATTCGTATTCGTATTCGCATTCGGCCGAATAGTTGGTCCCACTATTCGTATTCAGCCGAATAGTGAAAATCACTATTCGGTACAGCCCTAGTAAAAACATTATAGTGAGTGACATGACTGTTCTGTAATAGTAATAGCCTGCTCGTTAGAGTTAGGCTTATATTAGAGGTATGTTCTGAGGGGGAAAAGAACAAAAACAAGGATAAATGTTTAAAAAGTAGTTACGTGTATGAATTCAAGAGATTATAAAGGAAAAATAGAGTCAGTACACCACGGTTACCAGTTTAGCTCAAGATGGACATCCTTAACTAGTTTATATAAAAAGTTTACTCAATGCATTAAAGTTACCAAATTAGTTCGAGGTGCAAAACCTTAACGCTACAGTACAATCAGTGGTAATGTGGGCCATGCAGATATGAATAAATTACAGACAGACAGACAGACAGACAGACAGACAGACAGACAGACAGACAGACAGACAGACAGACAGACAGACAGACAGACAGACAGATAGATAGATAGATAGATAGATAGATAGATAGATAGATAGATAGATAGATAGATAGATAGATAGATAGATAGATAGATAGATAGATAGATAGATAGATAGATAGATAGATAGATAGATAGATAGATAGATAGATAGATAGATAGATAGATAGATAGATAGATAGATAGATAGATAGATAGATAGATTAGATAGATAGATAGATAGATAGATAGATAGATAGATAGATAGATAGATAGATAGATAGATAGATAGATAGATAGATAGATAGATAGATAGATAGATAGATAGATAGATAGATAGATAGATAGATAGATAGATAGATAGATAGATAGATAGATAGATAGATAGATAGATAGATAGATAGATAGATAGATAGATAGATAGATAGATAGATAGATAGATAGATAGATAGATAGATAGATAGATAGATAGATAGATAGATAGATAGATAGATAGATAGATAGATAGATAGATAGATGATAGATAGATAGATAGATAGATAGATAGATAGATAGATAGATGAGATAGATAGATAGATAGATAGATAGATAGATAGATAGATAGATAGATAGATAGATAGATAGATAGATAGATAGATAGATAGATAGATAGATAGATAGATAGATAGATAGATAGATATATAGATAGATAGATAGATAGATAGATAGATAGATAGATAGATAGATAGATAGATAGATAGTAATAGATAGATAGATAGATAGTAATAGATAGATAGATAGATAGATAGATAGATAGATAGATAGATAGATAGATAGATAGATAGATAGATAGATAGATAGATAGATAGATAGATAGATAGATAGATAGATAGATAGATAGATAGATAGATAGATAGATAGATAGATAGATAGATAGATAGATAGATAGATAGATAGATAGATAGATAGATAGATAGATAGATAGATAGATAGATAGATAGATAGATTTTAAGAATGTTCTTTCTCGTCTTAACTGACAAAGACAGATTAGCATAGAATATCCGTCATTTTGTGTTGTCCATTCTTTATGTGTCTTGTCTTGTCTTGTCTTGTCCACAATTGCCTCACAGCGTAGTGGGGAGTCGCAGTTTTCTATCCTGGGCCAGGTGTGTTGCACGTGTTGTTGTTAGTCCGTGTTGCCTCAGGATCTCTGATATATTGTCTATCCATCGTACTCTCGGTCTGCCTCTTGCTCTAGGGCAGTAGTGCTGTTCGTTGTATGCTCGTAGAGGCAGTTGGTCGGTTTGCATTCGCATCAAGTGGCCAAACCACTCTATTTGTTGCTTCTTTTATGTATTGCAGGAGTCATATAGTAAGAGGTGCTTTCTGCGAAGTCGGAGTGCACCTGTCTGAGGAGCCAATAGTCTGCGTACAGGTAAGCCTCTCCTTCTTCTTCTCTTCCACCTTGTACCTCTGTGAATTGTCAGGGGAAGATATAATATTCGTTGATGAGCTTCCTCTAGAGCACTATTAGGACTGATGTTAATTTCTGTAAGGCTGTTCTGAATGTTTTCAAACTATAGTTTCCGAGGTCTTCCACTCGCTCTAAACCCGTTATAAGGTTTTAGTGTGGCTCGCTGTGGCAGATAGTACCAGGGCATTCTTGTTAGGTGTCCAAACCACTTCATTTGTCCTTCTTTGATGACTTGTAAGACTGGCTTTATTCCTAGCATTCGTCTGACTTCGTGATTTCTTATTCTGTCTTTCCTTGAAACTCCTGCAGACATTTCATATCTGTTGTCACCATTTTCATTTTCATTGGAGGATGTAAGTGTCCAAGTTTGGCACTGACAGCATAGTGTTGACCAAAAAAATGGATCTGATAAGACTCACTTTAGTACTCAGGGGTATCTGTTTGTATGTCAACAGGGAAGATAGTTGCCCCATTACTTGATTAGCTTTGGTTATCTCGAGCAAATTATTCTGTCAAGTTTTTCGTCAGATTTGAAAATTGCTCCCAAATACTCAAATTCCTCTGTCTTAAGGTGTTGTTTTTTAATTGTATTTCTAAATTGTCTTTCTTTCTTTCAGCCACCATCGTCTGTCTTCGTAGTATTTATTTTCATATTATAATAATCCCCTTTGTTACTAATTTGATTTAGATGGTTCAGTGGGCGTCCCGTACTTTTTGCTGTGAGCAACTGGTCGTCGGCGAATATTAATTCTGTAATATCTTCTTCCTGATTAAAGCTCGTTTCCTCACATATGGTCTCCATGTATGTAATACAAAGAAGCGGCGACAGTACACAACCCCGAGGCACACCAGAGTTCACTAGAAAAGTTCTCGACAATCCTTGTCTTCGGTCTTATGCAGCATTTACTACGTGTGTACAAGCTTTTACCTATTGGGTAAGCTAAATCTGTAAAATAAGTGTGGACACAAAACTCAAGTTCTTGAACAAGAATAAAACCCAGAAGTGGACGAACAACCAGGTCTTTTCGCCTGGGTTTACAGCTGGTGAACGCGAAGAAGAAGAAGCAGAAGATTATCATCATCATTATCATCATTATCATCATCAGCATCATCATCACCCATCATTTTCATTATGATCATCATCATTACCATCATTACTATCCTCATT